ATTTCAATTCCCAAATTTTGCTCAGAGAGCCAGGGATTTACTTTGTATTTACTAACCATGCTGTTGAGAACATTTCCATCCCTATTTTCTTTTTTTTTTTTTTTAATTTGGACAACTCAGGCACTCCAAGAAAGGAAGAAAAGAGTTCTGGATGAAGCAGTGGAATTAAGCCAAGATCATTTTAAGAAGTATTTAGCTAAGCTCAAGTCAATCAACCCTCCCTGTGTGCCTTTTTTTGGTAAGTGACATCAATTTTTTTGTGTGGTGTCACTCTGAAGTTGAATTTGCTGCAGATACATGGTTAAAAACTGCTTTTTTTTTAAATCAGGAATATACCTAACAAATATCTTGAAGACAGAAGAAGGGAATCCTGACTTCCTTAAAAGACAAGGGAAAGAATTAATTAACTTCAGCAAGAGGAGAAAAGTGGCTGAAATCACAGGAGAGATTCAGCAGTATCAAAACCAGCCCTACTGCTTGAGGGTTGAGCCAGAAATCCGGGTGAGCAGCCATGAAAAATCCCTTTGGGGACTGGAGAGGGGGAAAATGCCAAATAATCCTCTAACACTGGACTAATTTTGCATGAATAGTGATTATCAAAAGAGGGGGGAGCAGTGGGTGGTAGACAACAAAGGACCACACAAAGGAGCAGCCAAAAGTGGTGGAAAATGACATTTTGAATCACTGAATTATGAGTATTTCATTAAATTTTTCTCTGTGTGCTTATTTTTTTTAAAATATTCTTGCTACTTGTTTCATTCAGAAATTCTTTGAAAATCTCAATCCCATGGGGAAGATACCAGAAAAGGAGTTCACAGATTATCTGTTCAACAAGTCCTTGGAGATTGAACCTCGGAACTGCAAGCAGCCTCCTCGATTTGTGAGTTTTTTATTGAAATTTCATGAGAACACCCTGAGTTGGAAGGGAACCACAGGGATCATCAGGTCCAATTCCTGCAATATTTAATTAAAATTAAATTGCTACAATTCACTGACCACTATGAAAATAACACAGGTTATCTCAATAAGCCAGATAGATTTTGTTCAGAATTCCTTGTCCTGAGTTGATTTTCCCACTTGATTTAAAAATACTTCTGCTCCTGATGTTTGTCACTACTAAAATATATCATCTTTGTTTGATTTTAAAACTCACTTTTTCCCCCAAAACTTGAAATATTGCTGTTAAATTTGTATTTCTTATCATACAGTCATATGACAAAATATGGAGTAATATTTTTCATTTCACAATACCAAGAAGTCCTATATTAATACTGATTAAAACATTACTTTTATACATAATATATTCAGTTTTCTTTAAGATAATTTGTGGTTTTGTTTTGTCTAAATATGTGGTATTATTGCAAAAACTGCAGGCTTTACCAGGTGCAACCCTTTTTGCTGAAGAAAATACAGTTCCATTTAAAGGAGTAGCAATTTTTGGTTTAAAAACCCCAGCTCCTGGAGCTCAGAGTTCTTTTTAAGCACGAAAATCACGATTTGGAGCACTTGGTTTTTATATGTTGTAATTGCCTGAGGAACTGCAGCCATGTCTAATTTTTTGGGAGAGCTATAAATCATTTTTGCCATCTCTTGTTGGAGGAATGAGTAAGATGATGTTACAAAAGTGGCAAGAAAACACCAGAAATTGCTGTTGCAAAAATGCTTCTGACAGTAATGTTATTAAAATCTTTTCTAAAAATTGGAGTCCAGTCAGCTGGGCAGGGATTCTTGACAGCTCACGATTTCCAAAGAGAGAGAATCTTACTGGAATTTCAGGAAAATCCAGCTGTGGGTGCTGCAGTGTGCTGGACACCACAGAAAATGGGGACATAATTCACTTTGCAAGGCTCAGCTTTGAGCTGGGCTGGATTAACCCAGGCCTGACCAGGCTGGGTTTGTGCAGGTGTAGGAATTTTTCCTGGATAAACTGGAGGACAAGGACACATTTCCAAGTGTGTCCTTGGTCCTGGATGTGTGCAGGGCCCGGTGACCCTCTGGTTTTGCTGTTTCTGAAGCAAATTTTTATTTCCCAAGGCTGTTTTTCCCACTGTTTTGTCCTGGTTGGCAGCAGAACCTGGACTCTTCATTTCTCATACCTGAGGGGAAATAAAAGATTTTTTCAGCTGCATCCCCAGCTTCCCAGCAAATCCCTGCTGTGTAAATAACGCTGCAGCTCCCATCAGCTGTGCCCCTGTGCTGCTCTTGGAGAAATAAATCCCTCAAAAATCCCTCAAAAATACCTCAAAAATACCTCAAAAATACCTCAAAAATACCTCACAGGGCCTTGGGAATGCTGCAGGGGGGAATGGCAGCAGTGTGTGGGAATGCTGCAGTGGGGAATGGAAGAATTGTTGGGAATGCTGCAGTGGGGAATGGAAGAATTGTTGGGAATGCTGCAGTGTGGAATGGCAGCAGTGTTGGAAATGCTGCAGTGTGGAACATTGCAGTGTTGGGAATGCTGCAGTGTTTGGAACATTGCAATGTTGGGAATGTTGCAATATGGCAGCAGTGTTGGGAATGCTGCAGTGGGGAACATTGCAGTGTTGGGAATGTTGCAATATGGCAGCAGTGTTGGGAATGCTGCAGTGTTGGGAACATTGCAGTGTTGGGAACGTTGCAGTGTGGAATGTTACAGTATGGAGCATTACAGTATAGAAGCTTGCAGTGTTGGGAATCTTGCAGTACTGGGAGCAGTGTTGGGAATGTTGCAATATTTGGAATGTTACAGTGTTGGAAACATTGCAGTGTGGAACATTGCAGTGTTGGGAACCGTTTTGATAATGTTGCAGTGTTGGGAACATTGCAGTATTGGGAACAGTATTGGGAACGTTGCAGTGTTGGGACCATGTTGCAGTTTGGATCATTGCAGTTTGGAATATTGCAGTGTGGAATGTTGCAGTATTGGGAACAGTGTTGGGAACGTTGCAGTGTTGGGAGCATGTTGCAGTTTGGAACCTTGCAGTGTTGGGAACGTTGCAGTGTTGGGAATGCTGCAGTGTGGAACGTTGCAGTGTTGGGAGCGTTGCAGTGTTGGGAGCGTGTTGCAGTTGGAACCTTGCAGTTTGGAATGTTGCAGTGTGGAATGTTGCAGTATTGGGAACAGTGTTGGGAACGTTGCGGGGTTGGGACCATGTTGCAGTGTAGAACATTGCAGTGTTGGGAACAGTGTTGGGAACGTTGCAGTGTTGGGAGCATGTTGCAGTTTGGAATGTTGCAGTTTTGGGAACAGTGTTGGGAACGTTGCGGGGTTGGGAGCGTTGCAGGGTTGGGAGCATGTTGCAGTGTAGAACCTTGCAGTGTTGGCAACATTGCAGTGTTGGGAACAGTGTTGGGAACACTGCAGCGTTGGGACCATGTTGCAGTTTGGAACCTTGCAGTGTTGGGAGCGTTGCAGTGTTGGGACCATGTTGCAGTTTGGAACATTGCAGTTTGGAATGTTGCAGTGTGGAATGTTGCAGTATTGGGAACAGTGTTGGGAACGTTGCGGGGTTGGGAGCGTTGCAGTGTTGGGAACAGTGTTGGGAACATTGCAGTGTTGGGAGCATGTTGCAGTTTGGAAACTTGCAGTGTTGGGAACTTTGCAGTGTTGGGAGCGTGTTGCAGTTGGAACCTTGCAGTTTGGAATGTTGCAGTGTGGAATGTTGCAGTATTGGGAACAGTGTTGGGAACTTTGCAGTGTTGGGACCGTGTTGCAGTGTAGAACCTTGCAGTGTTGGGAACATTGCAGTGTTGGGAATAGTGTTGGGAACATTGCAGTGTTGGGAGCATGTTGCAGTTTGGAATGTTGCAGTGTTGGGAACGTTGCAGTGTTGGGAACAGTGTTGGGAACCTTGCAGTGTTGGGAGCGTTGCAGTGTTGGGACTGTGTTGCAGTGTAGAACCTTGCAGTGTTGGGAGCGTTGCAGTGTTGGGACCATGTTGCAGTGTAGAACGTTGCACTGTGGAACCTCGCAGTGTTGGGAGCGTTGCAGTGTTGGGAGCATGTTGCAGTGTAGAACCTTGCAGTGTTGGGAACGTTGCAGTGTTGGGACCGTGTTGCAGTGTAGAACGTTGCACTGTGGAACCTTGCAGTGCTGACAGCCCCCTGTCTCCAGCCCAGGAAAACAACGTACCCGCTGAAATCACC